AGCCCAAACAGTAAGCTGCTCTTACTCCATCATCAAAAACAAATACAATGACAATACAAAATAAATATATACAAAAAAGTAAATTCAAAATAAATTGATTTAACTAAAACAAAATGAAATAATGAAATATATAAATATATATACAAATAAATATATAAAAAAATATATAAATGAATATATGAATAATTACCGTATATATATATATATATAATATAATAATACAGTATACATAAATAAATATGTAAACATATAAATATATATACAAATATATATATTAATAGATATATTAATACTTAAAATAAAATATAAATATATATATATATGTGTGTATAAATATATATATATATAAATATACAAATGAATATATATATATATATAAATATATAAATAAATATATGAACATATTAATATATATAAATATATATATAAATAAATATAAAAATAAATATACAAACAATATATTTAAAAAAATTAAATAATTATATAAATAAATATATAAACATATACAAATTTATAAATATATATAATAAATATATAAATAAATATACAAAAAAATATACAAACAAATATATAAATAAATATATAAATAATTACAGTATATAATATAAAACAATAATACAGTATATATATAAATAAATAAATATATAAATATATATACACAAATAAGTATATAAAAATAAATATATAAATAAATATATAATAAATAAATACATAGGCCTATATATATAAATGAATATACAAATAAATATATATATAAATATACAAATAATTATAAAAATATATAAATAAATATATAAATATATGCAGTATATATGTATAAATATATATATATAAATATACAAATGAATATATATATATATAAATATATAAATAAATATATGAATATATTAATATATATATATATAAATATACAAACAATATATAAAAAAATTTAAATATTTATATAAATAAATATATAAACATATAAATACATACAAATAAATATATAAATAAATATACAAAAAATATACAAACAAATATATAAATAAATATATAAATAATTACAGTATATAATATAAAACAATAATAGAGTATCATATATATATAAATAAATAAATATATAAATATATATACACAAATAAGTATATAAAATAAATATATAAATATATAAATATTTAATAAACATATACATAGGCCTATATATAAATGAATATACAAATAAATATATATATAAATATACAATAAATATAAAAATATATAAATAAATATATAAATATATACAGTATATATAAAATAATATATATATATATATATATATATAGATATATAAATAAATACAGTACATATATATATATATATATAAATATATCTGTATGTACAGTATGTATCTGTATATCTGTATTTTAACATCTCTATCAGCGCTGCATACTTCCGGATCGACGATTCGAAAAAGTGTATGTACTGCGCATGACTGGACTACACAGGCAAAGCTCCCCGGTGGAAAAAAAAGGATTTAAATGTATGGCTCGCATGGCTCGCGCATTGGCTCGCATGACTCGCTGGCTCGCACTTTGTCACGACCCTGTGAAAGCTGTTAGCATGAGTGATAAAATCAGTGAGTGAGGCGTGGCCGTGAGTCCATATGAAGAAAATATCATCAATGTAACGTGAGTAGTGAAGGGGCTTAAGAGAGAAGGATGAGTTTGTGCTCGATGTTGGCCATGAAAATATTGGCGTATGAAGGAGCCATCTTGGCTGAATCTGGATGGTACACACACACAGCTCTGCGTATTTGGAACATCGAATACATTGCAGTTAGCGTTCTAGTATTCCTATTATATCTCTATGATTCATAGAGCTATTAAACAACTAGAGTGCTGACAAGATGGCGGAGCAATGCAGAGTTGTGTATGTGTACCATCCAAGATGGCTGCCGTAAGAAAGCGCCTCCTTCAGGCTTAGTATACATATTATTACTATAAATAAGCCCCCTGACTGAATATTATTTCATTAATGATAATTAGTATTGATAATGACAAATTATTGAACTGTCTTAGCCAGGATCTTATTCAAATATTTAAAAAAAAAATTCGTAGCAAAAACGAGGCCAAATGGAGCATCTTATTCAAAAATAAAGTACCAAGGAATGAAAATTAATATCGTGTACATTACACCCATACACCAAAACGCTCGAGTTTCGAACATAACGGTAACTAGCTGTACTGAACTTCTGTGTAAATTGAGGGCGCCATTAAAAATGATAGTGATAAGGCATAATTTGATTGGCTGAATTTATGGCAGCCATCTTGGATGGTACCATAGAGCTATTAACATAGAGCTATTAAACAACTAGAGTGCTGACAAGATGGCGCAGCAATGCAGAGTTATGTATGTGTACCATCCAAGATGGCCGTCGTAGTAAAGCGCCACCTTCAGGCTTAGTATACATATTATTACATATTAATAGGCCCTCTGACTGACTATTATTTCATTAATGATAATGAGTAATGGTAATAACAAGTTATTAAACTATTATAGCCAAAACGAGGCCAAGTGAAGCATCTTATTCAAAAATAAAGTACCAAGGAATGAAAATTATAATCGTATACATTACACCCAAACACCGCAACGCTCGAGTTTCAAACATACAGGTAACTAGCAAAGATCTTATAAACACAAGATAGCGTTCTCCGCGATTTACGCGTAACAAATAGAAGCGTCGGTCAAGGTTCAAAAGTTTCCAATTTAGCAAGAGGGCGTCATTCATGCGCTATTATACCAAAGAGAAAAAGTAATCAGTTTTGGAAGAGGGCGTCCTATCTGTTGCCATGGATTTGAGATGTTTCCTGTTTTGCTGTTCACAGTAA